TCGATGATTTTAATATAGAACCAACTCAACAATCTACCTGCACTCAAGTCGATGATTCAAGCAAGCGCAAGAACCCTTTCACTTCCGGCGGGCCTAAACTCAAAGCTCTGGACATTCAAGAAAAGAAGATTGTCAAAATCAACTCTAAACAGCCTACCAACTTAGCTTCAGCAATTATTATCATGAGTTCCAATCAAGAAAAAAGACTCGAAGCTGAAAAAAAGTATGCGGAGGAGAAGAATGACCGAAATCAAGCTCGTCTGGACGCTCACCGTGAAGCGGTTGAAGATCGAGTTCAATCTTGTCTTCAAGCTGCAGCCTTGGCCAACAAAAGATTCCCAAATCGCAAGCCAGCGATGGAGCTATTCTCATTAAAGAAACATTCTGAGTTTCCTAACATCAAAATCCGGATGAAAGCTGCTGATCTTCTAAGAGACAAAGACTCAGCTTCCTTCTTCATAAACCTTGATGAAGAGGAACACTGGGTATGGTTAAAGAAAAAATTAAACGAAAACATTAATTAAACACTCTTCATGTAAGTCATCATCTCACTAATATTTTTCATCTAATCTATGAATCTATTAATCATGATCTCTTTTCTATCATCTCCTATCTTTTTCTTCTCATCCTTGTGCTTCTACTTTAAATAAAACGGGTACGTCTGAAACTGTGATAGAAACGATCGAGGTATTGGTCAAATTCATCCTCCACCCAATTAAATTGGATTTGAAGATCTTTATAGGATCTCCTTGTGCTTTTGTAACAACTATCATCAAAATCTCACACACGAACTATCTATTTTCAATTTTTCTATGGTTTTTGTATTTACAAGTTGAAATATATTGCCTGCAATGAATAGATGATTTTATTTAAAAAAACAAAACAAGTTCATCTTGAACAAGTTGAGAACATTTGCCTATCAACAACACAATCGAGCAACACAGCATTTTCATCTTATTAAGTTTCTTTTTTTGATACAGCTGTGATTCGAATACAAGCATATCCTACAATCAAGATACGATATTTGGATCTTGTCAACTCCCATTTCTTGTTTACCTTCATCACCAAACCCTTGACCACAACCTCGATCCACCTCCACTTCTTCACCAACATGCCAAAAGGAATCTCAAAACGCCAAGCCCAACGGGACGAGGAAGCTACTGCGCTACAAGAGGTGTATGTTCTACATTTTGTTCCCTTCAAACTCTTACTTTCTTTCAAATTTCTTTCTTCTCATCAACTTGATTTGTCTTAGTGCTGAAAGACGAGCAAGACATGCTCCCGTTGAAGGGCTTAGCCCTGGTCATGGCAGGGATGGCAGCCCCTTCTATACTCACAAGTAAGTTATTGTTTTCTATTCTTCGATTCAGATCATTGATTTTGATTACGTTTCATTATCTGTTTCAGACCTGGTCACCATTGGGAAGAGATACGCTTTGGTGGTCAGCGCCAGTATCTTGATATGGACTTGGTCCATGTGGATCCTTCTATTGAAACGGGCTCTCGTGAGTTCCGTTGTCGAGTTCAACCTCAACCTCCACTCGATCCTGAAATCGAATTCGTCCACGGTGAATTTTTATTTCTCGTTCAACAACTTTTCATCAAACCTGACCTTTTGTTTCTAATTTAGCAGCACCCAATCCTCAAGGTGTAATTGATATAGCTTCTAGCAATGGCCATGTCGAGAATCAAGCCGATGATAGCCCTGCTAGTAGGTTTTGCTTTTCTCTTTATTCAAATGCTACATACCAAGCTGATGCTTATTTTCAATAGATCGAACTGCCTCAACCAACTTTACCCGTTCGGCATTCCGTTTACAAAGCGGCACCCCAGCCCCCAGACCATTTCCTGAATTCGAGGAATACCTCAACTTTTGTTCAATCAATAAGCATGATGAACATACTCGAAGTTTACTCAAGTCTTTAGACATTAACAACTTTGAAATGTTCTTTTCGCCAGAACTCAGCGTAGACGCCATGAAAAATCTCGGTTTTGGATTTGGTCCCCGTCTTTGCTTACATGGAAATGTGATACTTTATCGAGATGATCTCAAAAAGAAAAACCGTACCTAAGTTTCTGTTCACAACGAAATACTCAATATCTGTTGCACAAGTAGTCTACAAGACAAATATCTTTTAAATATAATATGTAATTACTTTTGTATGAACATTGATGTGGTAATAAAATAATTTTATCCATCAACGTCGGCCTTGAGCTATATAATCTTCCCACATACGCTCAGCCAAAACCATCCTATCACGATTCACATTTTCCCTGTCTGCTACAGTAGCAACTTCAAACTGCTCAAATTAAAATGATCTTCACCTCCCTGTAAGATAATATTTTGAAGTACACATAATGCCACAACTAGATCCGCCTGTCGTTTGATGGGATACTTCCTCATGAAACGAGTCAACAGAAAACGCATTTTCGTAACTCCAAACGTGCGCTCAATACATCCTCGAAGCCCAGAATGGTGCTTGTTGAACAGTTCTTGAGGATTCACAGGGCCTCTATTTCCTTCCGCCCACTCTTTGATATGGTATCTAACACCTCTGAAAGGTGCGAGAAAGCCGGGCTCGTTAGCGTAGCCGGCATCCACTAAATAATACCGCCCTGTACTCAAAAAGTCAGCAAAGATACAAATGGAGATGTATTAATCCAAGACTCACCAGCTGGTACTACAAAAGCGCCATCCTGCCTGGCCACTTCAAGTACTCGAGCGTCACTACTGCCTCCTTCAAAGCCTGCCATTATAAAGTTAAATGACATGTTGAAGTGGCATCCAGCAAGTACGTTTTGACTCAAGTCACCCTTTCGATTTCGATAAGCAGCTTGATCTCGTTCTGGTACACTTGCTGGTATGTGAGCACCATCAATTGCCCCAATGCATCCATCAAACCAAGGATGAAAACGTGCACTTGAGGTGATCTTGTTAGGAATCGGTGATTCTGGGCCAGGTTGTCGGATGAAGGTATCTTTTAAGTCTACGAGAGCCGAAACTACCTTGTTATAGTATCTAGAGATTGTTTCTCCCGAGTGTTGGAAGCGCTCAGCAGCAAGAACTGTTGAACCTGCATTACCAGCAATATAAAGAAAGATCATAAGCTGCTCGACAGCTGTTGTATGAATTGTATCTTCTAGATATGGCCTCATTGTCATTTGAAGTCTACAAAACGTAGCTCGATCCATGCGGCAGATGTCGCGGAATCTAACTGGACTTCCAGCTAAGATCTCTTGTTCGTACATGTAGCCACGTAAAGCGGAGGTTCGACAAGGTGTCTTCGGTTGCTGTGCCAGTTGGGCACGGTCTAGAGCAGCTGCCATCAGCAGATCAATGATTTCTTGATCATGATCTACTGGGTTACTTCCCTCGGATGAAGAAGGTTCAAGAATCTGATCTAATTCCCCCCAAGATGCGGAGGAATCAGACATGTGTGCTGATGTAAAAGTGTGATGTTTTGATAGTCGTGATGACTGAGGAGATGGATGGATTAAAAAATTAAGTTGGATTTCAAACGGTCAACAAGCTTTTTTGCTTTTGACTGCCAAATGAATTACAACTTTTATGTACTTTTAAGTTGACTTTTTGTTAAAAGTCAAATTACACCAAAAAACGACTTTCCGGGGTCGGAAATTTCGTACCTTTAAAAAGGTACGAACTTTTGTAAGCCGTACCAAACGTGCCCTGAAAGTTTCATCAGCTTATCAAGGACCGTTGACGGTCAAAGCTCTTCTAGGGACCCGGTAAGTGGTGGGGAAGACACCGTTGCACTTTGAATGCATACATGTAGCACTATTTTTTGATAGCTTTCCCCGAGTTGTTTGTCTTGACGTATACAACTAGGGTACTCAAAGTAAGTATGCACGCGTGCATACTTTTCTGTACATACTTTTTTTGAGCTTTTTCAAAACTATGCACGGTGGGGAAAAGTATTTTTTTTTCGTTCAGCACTCTTACAGGCTCCTGTTCCCCTTTCTCCATCATGGCCGATCAACCTCCTCCGACGCATCCACCTAGCAACCCCAATGCAGTCGTCAACGCTCAAAACTCCCAACCGACTGCAATCAACAGCCTGAACACAACACCGAGCGAAGTGGTCTGGGGTATTCCTCAGACTATATCAAGCACAAGTCCAACGACCCCGATTCAGCTTATAACACCCTACCCTGCACACCACCATCCTTACATTTCTTCGTCTTCGCCCTTGATTTTGGCTTATCCTGGAACTCAGCCAATTCCGCCAACTACGCAAGTTACTTCGGTGCCTTTATTATCCCCTTCGGTAACATCAAATCCACCTGCGATGACTCCACCATTGACTCAATCTAAGAAGAAGCCTCGTGGTACTCGATCTTCAAAGAAGAAAACCCCAGCATCTTCTTCAGCTCCAGTATTAACCCCCAGCCAAGCCTCCACGGTTGAACCTTTAACCACAAACAATTCATCAGTTCAGTCTTCAACCAATATAAACCAATCAGATAGTCAAGCTTTAACGGCAACCGACGAAGTGTTAGCTCACAGCGATTCATCAACTCAAAAACAGCTCTCTTGGATCAAAGATTTGAATGACGAAGGCAAATCAATGCTTGATTTGATAGTTGAATGGTTATCTTTCAATTGGGGTGATCAAGATTCTCCAAACGATTCCGAATGGATGTGTATGGAGAGCTACGATACCACTTCGACTAATTACACAAGATATCGTGCGGGTACTCCCAAAAAAAAGGAATGTTGTGATAGGTGTGTCAAGTATCTCGTGGCAAAGGGCTTCAGCGGTTGCACATGGGCTGGTGTTAAACAGCAGGTCAGTTTTTTTTTCAAAATGTTCTCATCGTGTTTTTTAACTTAGGGTTTTTCTCTACGCTTTCTTGCTTTCATATTGACTTGTGTTAATTGTCTTTTCTAACCTCACATACGGGTGTAAATGTAGATTGAAACGTTAGAATGTAAATTCCATGCGGCAGAAGGTTGGCGTACAGGAACAGGTGGTGGCGTTATGATGAAGCAACATACCGACTCGGAAATTGAAGCGCTACAACAAACCGAAGATTGGACTGTGGAGCGAGAGGAGGAGATTAGGGTGTTGGCTGCAAATACAACTAAAGGTAGATAAGATTTGAATTTCTTTTTTTGTTTTAGATTTGCTGACTGGCCTTTGTCACAGAAATCTTACATAGCAAATGTAACTACTACAACATACTTCTCCCAATTATGGGGGATCGCCCAAGCAACGAGCCTTTGAACGCTGTGGAGTCCGGTATTATAACTCAAGGGGACAAATCCCAGGTTACTCAAATCAGCGGTTGGAATCCCAGCAAATCTTTGGAACCAAGCAACGAGGACTTACATAGGATCCTAGGCGATAATGACTTCGACTTGAGCCTCACCCAAGTGGATACTGAGGCGTCTGAACCAAGACCTTTGACTTCTACTTCAATCCAACGCACACCTAGCTCCCAATCATTACGTCTAACCAAATCAACCCAACCACCATTGATGAATCAAGCCAGTGGCTCTTTGAAAAACTCAAAACGAAATTCAGGAACTGCAGCAGTTCTCAAAACTATCCAATCCAGCTTACCGACTCAAGCGGATTTCAAAGAAATGAATGACCTTCATAAGGCTTCAAATGAAAATCAAAGACTTATGCTAGAACAAGTGGCAGGCGCATCAACTGGAATGGCCAATATCTTAGGAGCTCGATTTGGAATTACAAAACCATCAGATAAACACGCTTTGGAAGAGAATGACCTATCAGCTGAAGAGATCGAACTGAGGAAGTCGAAAAGAAAGAAACAAGACGAGCTCAAAATGCTGAAACTAGAGCGAGAATTAGCCCAAGAGCGACGAGCTTTGGAAGAGAACAGCAATGGCTCTGGGTTGTCCAAGCTTGATTTAGCTCGAGAAAGGATTTCGATGATTGCTAAACTCTCTTCTTCCAACATTCCATATGCCGAGGCCGAAAGAATGGCTGATGAAGTGATCAAAAATTTATCATGATTATTTTTGATTTAGTCCAATTGAAATGTTTAATTCATATTTGAGTTCTTATATTCCTTTCTATCAGAAAAGACCAAAACATTATTGTGTTTTTTTTTGTTTTCACTTCTTGCAACTACCCAAGATTGATCTCTGAAAATGAATAAATAAAAGATTCGATTTTTTAATTGGTGTGTTTTCCTTCTTATTCTTCTCTCAATCGGAAATAAAAACAAAATCTAAAAAATTTGTCTTCCACTCAAAAAATAAAATACACATGTTTCCAAATTTTTTTGTGTGTTTTCCTTCTTATTCTTCTATCGATCAGAAATAAAAAAATGATTCTAAAAATATTCTCTTCTACTTAAAAAATGATTTCATTAACTATGTATGAAATGATATCAAACATGATTTTCTCTTTGAAAAATAGCATCATGGCGTGTTTTGAAATTCAATCACATATAAATTTCATGATAAGTATTTATGAAATACTTATCTTCTGAGGAGACATGAAACATAATTGACTCATTTCTTACATAAAATTTTAATCGAGTGGCTCATTGTGTGACCTCACTCACTCATGTGTCACTAGTTTTTTTGATTGGGAGTATGATTTGTCATAAAATGATCTATCACTCCACACCTAAGCCAGAACACACACACTACATATGTGCAACAGGCTCAGTGAATAGGTGGTTATCATGTACATACAGTTCTGCTCAGTTATCTGCTCATCAGCGTAAGTTATTCATATGTAATACATGCTGTAACTTTTTTCAGATTGACAAAAGTATTCAAAAGATTGACTACATACACCCACCCAGTGTTTTGGTGTGATCTCATCAACTCAACTGCATGTAACACCCTTTCTGTTACTATGAAACAGCTTCAGTAATATTGCCTGAGCAGCTACAGAATTCTATGTAGTGAATTTTTGCAACAATTTTTTCAAGGTCAAAAAAGTTTCATGTGGTATAACATGTGATTTATTCATTCTGATGGGCAAAAAACTGAGCAGACCTGTATGTACATGATAGATGAAAAATAGCATCATGGCGTGTTTTGAAATTCAATCACATATAAATTTCATGATAAGTATTTATGAAATACTTATCTTCTGAGGAGACATGAAACATAATTGACTCATTTCTTACATAAAATTTTAATCGAGTGGCTCATTGTGTGACCTCACTCACTCATGTGTCACTAGTTTTTTTTGGGTCAAAAGGGCCTTTTTGGGCACTCGATTCATGTTTAAATTAACAGACCGAATCTTTGCATTTCATCTACTAACGTGTATATATCTAGATTTTTCTTTGGATTATACACTTCCATAATCACTCTAAGGGAATCAGCTAATGATGTCGTTGGCAATACCTTCTAAATTCAGCCAAGAGATTATTCCTCCTGCGGTATGCGGTGTTTCTTTCCAAAACAATCGGTTCGTAATCATTGTCTACATCTACATCATCAATATTGGGAGGTGGAGGGGATTCCGCAATCCAAGCGTCATTCCATTTAATTGAAAAGTTGTGCAGTATGCAGCACACCTGCAGCCAGTTGGTTGCGTGTGTAGCTGAAAGGGCGTCTTTGATTAGGATCCGTAAATCTTGCAAAGACTGAAATCGAAGCTTGAGTTGGCCATTTCCATGTTCGCTGATCACTCTTTGTTCACTGAGTGCCCTATTAAAATCCCTTTTCAAAGCATCTAAACTCTGTAATCGTGGGCTTTTGAAAGTCGGTATGATGTTCTTTGAGCATGTGTAACCCGAGTCAGCCAAGAGATACTCGTTCACCCCAAAGTATAGATCTAGATTTTGAGCAAGCTAAAGAAAAAGTCTCAATTAGACCAAATTGAATGACAAACTACGAGTATTTTCACTTACATGTGTTGAATTAAAGACACGTTGGTCGTGAGCACTACCACACCACCCATGTTTAGCATAGATGATTCGACCTCGGTGATCACTAACTAACAGGGTGTTGAGGGCGTAAATGTGCTTTTGAGTCCAAAAGTCTTCGGGATTCTTGACCGGTGCGAAATCCAAAGGTATGAGGGTTCCATCTATACAGCCTACACAATCTTTGAAGAAAGACTTGCTTCCAAAATGAGCCTTGATTTGGTCTCTTTCATGTTGATTTGGCCAGTAAACGTATTCCTGTTCGAGTTTTAAAATCGCCTCGAAACATCGAAGTGTGTAGTTGTGAACTGACCCTTCTAAGAACACCAAGGGTCAGTCGCTATTGTCACCTGAACACTTGATATTTTTGACCTACCACTAAGTCCAAACAACTGCCCTATCATATAAGCACTACCACCGTTTCCGCTAAGTCCCAGCCTACATAGAGTAACCATCAACTGCCATTCAACTGGTGCTTGAGGCACATTTGAGTTGTTCATGAAGACCAGATCATCTCGAATGAGGCCGGCCAACCGGTAGAAGTTTTCTTTGGACATTCGTCCCTGGTTAAAGTAAATGCACCACATCAGAATGGTGTCAGATTAGCCAACGGAAGAAATGGAACGTACATGACGGAGAAAGTTTCTTTCAGATCCATTTGCGGTACTCAAAGCTACATATGTACGCGTACATAGTTGCTTTGAGTACCGTAATTGAAAACCGCCCCAAATCTTAGATGTTGCAACATAGTAAGTCGATTATGAAATCGAGGTTCAACATATCGGATGTGAGTTAGATGATCAAAACCTTCACCAATTGCTAGGGCTATTTGGAAATAGTGTTGATGGATGGTTTGCTGAGATGCGGTGATAGCTTGTAGGTCACAGCTTCCTTTGAGGAAATCATTGAACGCTTGAAGAAGGGAGAGAATCGATAAGACACAGACTTCTTCGGAGTCGTCCAACAACATCGAGGTCGTAGCAGTTATCAAATTGAGGTGAAGGCAGGCGTATAAAACAAAATCAGACGGCGGTTGCGCAGTGGAATGGAGCACAGATAAGACCTGTGCAGAGGCTTGAGCGAGATCCACGGATATTTCTTGCCTTCGGCCAGGACGAGGCATGATGGAAGTAGGTGATATTGGGGAAAGTATGCGTGGTGTCCTCAAACCTGGACCCAAACATACTTTTTTTTTCCCCGCAAAAAAAAATTACAAAAAAGTATGTACAGAAAAGTATGCACGCGTGCATACTTACTTTGAGTACCCTAAACGCATAGATCAATCAGCTCGCTCGTGGCTAGTGATAGATCCATGAATTTGAGTCGAATAGTCGAGTGATCGGAACGCTAGATCGAGCTGCATAGCAAGTCCTCAAGCTTGTTCAAATACATCAATAAAGATCAAATGCTTTATCAGATGGTCTTTTGTTCCACTCTCCTTATCTTTGCAATTTTTTCAGTCATTTGGGTACACCTCGTACTGGGCAGACAGATTATGGACAGTTGATCTTAGCCACTCACATCAAGCGTAGTATATCTCATTAGAGGTTCTTCGTCACTTGAGTTCCAGACCGCTTGGTATAATTATGTATATCCCATGGATGAACTGAAGTTTTGAGGCGGAACTCGTCATCAAGTCTTTGCTGAAGCTCACTCAGATACGCGAATTCTTCGAATAAAGCGAGGAGCTCAATGAAGCTGGTGCTGATCAGTTCGTCATGATCGACGACTCCGACGAGGTGTCGGTGTGATAGATGTGTCTCTTGGCCCCGTACCCGACGGATCTGTGTAAAGAAAAGTTGAGAGATGCCATTTGGGATCCATGTGGTTTTGATGGAGAATATATGATGGAGTACATCATTGATAACTTACCACCACTGGTCTCAATTGATGTCAACCCGTTTCAAACTGCTATCAACAACAATCTCATTCCCAAGTTATCTGACACTATCAAGGAAGATACCAAGACAAATTCAATCAAATCATCATCGATTCAATATTATCCACTTCCACCTCAAGTTCCGGTAAGTGCCTCCTGTGTCCTTCTTCAATGCACTCTCAATAGCCACTGAATCATTCTTATTCTCAGTCTCAAGCTTCTATCTTGAGCTGGGACACTTATCAACGTACATCCACACAATCTATCCCAACTTATCAATCGCCTTATCCTTCCGAATCTTCAACTCAGACTTGGGATGTTTTACTTCAATCCGCTTATTGCAACGAATCAAATCACGATCCTCTGATCGCATATAAACCAGCTTGGCCTCTCTCGCGTGCCTCCGATCTCTATGCGCGACTCTGCCTTGGTTTACATCTCGGACAAAGTTCTTTACCACGAATACTCGGATTGACAAACGAAGCTAGCCAGGTTACCTTCGATCTCGCACTTAAACTTGGTCTCAATCTCAGTAAACTTGATTCTACAGATCCATACTTGCAAGGACTATTGGCGAGTGGTCTTGACCAATTAGCTGCGATGTTACGGGTCGAAATTCATTCAGCTCTCGCAGTTCCATCTCACCAACTCGTTCTCACGCGTCAAACCGTTCTGGGGCCCATTCTAGATCTTTTATCTAAGTTGGCCGACTTGATAATCACCAGTGCACCTTCCTCTCCTACAGATCAACTCTCGCATCTATACCAATTTGCCGATCATTTACTGCAGACCGCTGGTTCACCGATGCTCCAAACGGTCTCAAGTTGGTTGCTTGATAGGATCTCTACCCGTGTACTCATTGGTTGGGAGACTTGGTTAGGGATGATACGTAGCACTGATGGACCGGTTCAAGATCTCAATTGGTTGCCAAGAAAACAAGACGAACGCGACGGCCATCTCGATTGGCCGAATGAATTCGATGAACTTCATCAAAGATTATGGCGAGAATGTGGAATTGAACGTGTGAAGGCACCGAATGCGGCTGAGGATTTAGGAACAAACAACATGTCACCGAATGCCATTCGGTATATTGTTTTGAGTTTGTTTTCTCATCTGCTTCTGAAGTTCTCAGTCGCTTTTCTGCGAGTTTCAAGACAATCATGATATTCTTCCACATCGTGCTAATTTGGTTTCACATGGCTCTACCCCTGCAGCTCAAGCTGGATCGGATTCCGACCTTCATGCCGATCGAAGTCGCTGAGAAATTGTTTCAAGCTGGCATTGCATTACGCATCTTGAGAACATCAAGTGGTAGTATGATTGAAAAATCAGAACCAAGACCGGTATGTAGATTACTACCGATCGAGGCTCTTGAGCGCGCTAGATGGGTGTGGAGTGCAACGGAGTTAGAGTGGTAAGCTGGCAGTGCTAATCCCTATATCCCGACTTTCTCACTCATGATCGAGTCTCTCTGTCTTTGAAACATCAGTTCCCGGATTGCATTGGCGCAGCAAGTCCGAGATATACATGTTCGAACGTCTGCCTGGAGAAATCACGTCAAGCTTCCTAGCACAACAGCAAACTTTTCCAGTAAAGTGAAGCGCAAGGTACACGAGCCAAATGACCCCCAAGCAGACCTAGATAGGTTCTTCGAAAATATCACGAGAGGTTTAAGACGTGATAGTCACTCGCCCCACTCTGCTTCATTGCTCGCCGTCTTTGAAGATCGTCTAGGAAATTTTGAAAGCCACCACACATTTCTACAAGCCATGTGCATTCCCTCGCTTTCGATACTCACCCATGAGACTGTCCATAATCCACTTCTCGCTCGCGCATCTTCTATCAACCAATCATTATTGTCGTTCTTTATCATCGATATGGAACTGTTGGATCATCTTCAAATTCTGGGCCAGTTTTTATTTTGTTTTGATGTCGACTTTAGTCAACGGTTGTCGAGAGCTCTCTTCGATCAAACAGAGCAGGATGGGTTGATCGACGGACCCTCGGCGGTGGGTGTGAGTGTCAGATTGATGGAAAAAGCTCGTTGGCCGCCTGGTGGATTTGATCTTTCATCTGCCCTTCGATCGGTTGTCTTGGATTCAATCCCGGAAGAGCTGACAGCATCGGCATGGCGTGAGCTTGATGATCGGCTATCATTCGCCACCGAAGCAACGGATCAAGAGCACATACAACCTGCGGATTCGATACATGCATTCGACTTCCTTTTCCTCGATTTTAAACCTCCCCCTGGGCTTATCCCCTTGCTAAGCCCTGAAATCATCGAGCATTATCGTGATGTGAATCGATATCTGATGAAACTTGTTCGCTTACAATCAATCATGCGTCGAAATCAGCATTTACTTCGTACTCGTCTCCGTAGGCCAAAGACTCGGCGAAGTGAGATCCATCGGTTATGCTTGTTGACCTCAGCTTGTCAACGACTTTTGGACGGCCTGGTCTCATTCACATGGGATATCGCAATTGAGGTAAATTGGCGTAAATTCATGGAAGAAGTCAATCAAACTCGACTTCAAATCTTGAAACATGAACAATGGCCTGTCAAGGAGGAAGGAGAAGAAGAAGAAACAAATAATGGCTATAAGACAGTGGAAGAATTGAAAGAGATGCATAGATTGATGATTGAAGATATCCGAAATGCACTCTTTCTAAGAGATCGACAAGTTTCATTTATGAAGATCCTTGAGAATTCCATCTTTCAACCTATCATTGGACTTGGGAAGATACTGAATGGCTTGGAGGAAGAGGAAGAGGATGTGGTGATTGAAAAGTTGAAGGGAAGGCAGATTGTGGGTCTCAGGAAGCTGATAAATGCTTTGGAGGCTTTGAGTGATCGGGCTGCTGATCGAGAAGTGAGAATGAGGAAGGAAGGCAAAGAAGGGTTCTTGAACGAATTAGTCTCTCGCTTGGATTGGAATAGGTTTTATGCTGATCATTCTGGTTAAGGCTCCTATGTGTTCTTTTGTTGTTTGTAAGATTATTTGGGTTGTCCGAGTTGCAGCAATCGGTTGGACGAGGAAACTGATTTGCTCGACTTGGCTTGATGTTGATTGAGTTCATGAGAGATACAATATAAAATCCCTACACCCGTCCATCTTGATGCAATGGTCCTCTTACTTATGATGTCGAGATCAACCCATGGAACGCGTGACTTGGAGGCCCAGTATGCCTTCCTCAATAATGATCTTGTTCCTGGAGAGTCTTGATGTCGTACACACAGTCTGTGAGGGTTCGCACTAGCTCATTATTGTCTTTGTGTTATTCTTCACCAGACAGACACTTGATGACCGAAACACAGAATTGTCGGCAAATCCTCAACTATGCAACTGCGTCCGTCTCGGCGAGCGAGCTTGCGAGAGGAGCAGAGAATCTCGGACTCGCCGGAATGAATCGCGACTGCGCCAGGCAGTCTGATGTTCATGTTCATCAAAGGTCAACATCGTTTCCTTCCTTTCCTCTGCCAACTTAAATTCATTGAGCTCTCAAACCAATGAATCTTCATTTGACTGCAGTGGCAAAGCAAGTTGGTCTGTTTTGCTCTGTATGTTTTTCATCTTCTCGATGACTGCTATCTGGCAAGAGCATGATAAGGTTGGGATCCAGTTACTTAGGAAGCTGAGCCTCAACAACGGTTCAAAGCTGTTTGGTCCATGATCCTTCAGTCAGCTCGTGCTTCTTTCTCGCGGTGACCAGATGTCTAGCAGAACAATCCAACAACATTGACGCAACGCAGACAAATTTGATCCATAGCGTATATATTGAGCCCTTCAGATTCCTCCAGCGAACCAACCTGGCTCCCTCCCTATCATCCACAAACCTTAAATCTTTTTAGCTTATCCAATTATATTATCCGCTGCTCAGCCATCCACTTTGCTCAACTCCCGTTCACTTTCACAGATATCAGCTCCTCACGTTTCTACTTCACCGTCATCTTCTGCCCAGCTTCTCAGCACGCACCGAAGACTTTGCATCTAATTTTCTTTCTATCGATTCGCTGCTCGCGATCCACCCCGCTTAACTCCCATTCACTTTTACAATCACTTAATACCTTTCCTTTTCAAAACACATTATTCTTAACAACCTAGCCGAACCGAAAAAATGCGATTTGCATATGCTGCTGTCGGTGCTGCTGGTATCTTAACTTGTAAGCATATCATCATTTACTTGCGTTATCCAAGTCTGGATTGCTGACGTCGGTCTTTGCAGCAACCATGACAGAGGGCCGAGCGCTTCCCATCTCGCAAATTATGTCGAGGTTAGCAATCCATCTACCTCTTTTCTTTACAGTACTCGTTAACAGTTGTTTGTACCGCTAGAACCACTTCTTTTCAATCTAGGTCTATCAACCCTTATACTAGCCAGCAAACCCTTGCAAGCGCCCCTTATACTCCCGACGTTGATTCGTCAGCATTGCCCGCCAGCGGCAGATCAGCCCGACCTATCATCGCCCCAGAGGCATCAGTTAATTTTCAAAATCCTACGGACAGTTTCAACACAACGGTGTACACGTCTGACCGTCAAAATGCTGGCGGATCTCAGCAAACTGGCTCACAGCCAATCATGGACGCTCAATACATGGCAGGCTATCAAGTTGGATTCCAAGCAGGTTCACGAGTTGCGGCCTCTGGGATAGCTCCTGTTGAGCAACAAGTGTCGGCTTTGTTTGACCAAAACGCAAATTATAATGCCGGAGTACAGGCCGGTTTTGAGGCGGGTGTCCAACAGCATGCTCGCGCGGGCATCAATCAAGCACTTACCGGTGTCAACTCTGTTCGTGGCACGCAAACCCAACCCGGTTCATCTTCATCACTCAACGCCTCCGGACATCAGAATTTAGAGGGAGGTGTACCTGGTACCCCGATCGAACAAGACGTAGAATTTATGGCAGGACGACGTGCTGGATATGATGCTGGGGTGAAAGCTGGATCATCACGCAACAGTCGAGTCACTACCGCTCAGCAAGCTCCTGCATTGCTCGGTCAAAACGCAATTTTCAATGCTGGCGCAGAACAAGGTTTTGAGATCGGTCATCAGCAACACTTACAACCGGACGCCAACAAAGCAGTCGGCCGCCAGAACGGTCAGGGCGCTCAAACCCAAGGAGCCGGCACAACATCATCTCAAGTTAGTCAAGAAGCGGAATTTGAGGCCGGTCAACGTGCTGGATTTCAAGCAGGCATGCAATCTGGAGTCAGTGGAAGTGGTGGACAAGCGCCGCCTGGCCTGTTCAGTCAAAACCCATACTTCAACGCGGGTGCTCAACAGGGCTTCCAAGTAGCCGAACAGCAAAGGATGAATGCGGGTATCAACCAGGCAGGTAGTTTACAAAGTGGAGCGAACTTTGGCCAGAATGCGCAATCTCAAGCTGGTTTATCCTCCGGACTCAACACATCGGGTCGCCAAAATCTAGGTGGCTCTCAACAAGTTGGCTCCGAGGTAGATGCAGAGTTTCTAGCCGGTCAAAAAGTTGGATATCAAGCAGGCGCAAATCAAGGAGCTAACGGAATGAGCTCTTCCGGGCAAGAGATCTCATCTCTGTTTGGTCAAAACGCACAATACAATGCTGGTGTGCAACAAGGTTTCGCGGCAGGATTTCAACAGCGCGCACGCGCAAACTCCAACCAATCAGTCGGTCCGCAAAGCGGCATCAACGCGTCTCAAACGGGTCAAGCTCAAGCTAGTCAAGCTTTGGGCCGTCAAAGCATTGGTACATCCCCGGAACCCGGTTCCCCAGTGGATCAAGACCCCGAATTTGTAGCAGGTCTACAAGTAGGTGTTCAAGCCGGTCAACAAGCCCGCTCAAGTGGAGCTGGTAAAAACCCACAAGAAGCCTCCACTTTCTTTGGACAAAATGGGCACTTTAATGCTGGTGTTGAACAAGGCTTCGAACAAGGCTATGAACAGGGCGCCTCCGCCAGGACTTGAAGTTGTAGATTTTGTTCATGTCCGGCACCTATCTCTCTCACGATAAGCAAACCAGAATGAAATCAATCCCATTTTTCTACACGTAAAATGAATACCACATCTTTGTTTTCGTCTACAAGCCAATGTGTCAATTTCTTGTGATGCATCTCAAAACATCATTTTGCTTCCCAATTCTCTTGTGAACACGCATCGTACCTTACGGACATTCCAGCTAAAACCCATGTTGCGTGGTGTCGCAGCCTTTGCAAGTGGTTTGCATAACATCACATCCCTTTAGGCAATGATCATTTATTTTACAAAAAAAAAGAATTTGAAGCAGAAATGATTTCATCACAAAGCCGATGTTTGATTTGTTTTCATCGGTACATTCTGGCTTAAGCGGGGAGTCAGCTACTCGTCACATTTCGACACTTGTTTTTCATTTATTGACTTCGAGGTACAAACCAGAGATAATGGTAACCGTCAATGTTGCATACAATGATGAGCATGAGAAATGGTCAACTGATTTTCAAGGTACCTTGAATCAAATCTAAACATGTTAATGACACGCTAAGGATCCCTTGAGTTTTGAAAGCCAGCTTATGAAATTACCGGCGAGCGACTGATTAATATTATCTACTGACCTTTTGACTTTGAACCATCATTTATGCCTTTGTTATCGTCTGACTCTAAGCCAGAGGCTGGATCAAGTCCAGAACCATCATAAAAGGTATCCATCAGATGAGCTTTTAGGAAAGGCTCATCAGTTCTGACTCTAAAACCACATCAACAGCTCTTCCATCCGTTGGTGATCTTATTGGAGAAAGAGAGAGAGGTGGTATGATGATGACCTGAGCAGGACAGATGATGATGGTCAAAGTGCTTTCAATCATAAGCAATCAGTTGACTCTAAATCAGTTGACTGTGATTTCGATGACCAGCTACAATGTACCTGAATAATGATAAGATCAAATTGATTATGAGCATGATTTAAAGACTATAGGTTAGCATATAAAGAACTCCGAATGAATGATGAACCAAAGAATTCTTAAAGATCACATTTTAGTCAAAATCAATCTATCACTCGGGATGGTCAAGAAGCATACAAACTTATCCTCTTAACCATTTCTGATATCCCAACATCAACTTCATCCAATCAAGTCTTTACCTTTAAATCCTCTTTACCCTTTTTCTTTTCCATTCCATCAAACTTCGCTTCCATCAGCTCGTCCTCTCAAATTCTCTTTTCTATCTTCTCGCTTCGTCCACCCTAGACGAGATCCAGAAGAAATCAAAACTCAAAGTACAAGATAGTAGTATACTAACTATCTATTCAATTCTATCATCTTGTTAATCAAACCTTTGCTTTTACTACATTTTATAGTTGCTTTCTTATCATCCTATTGCTCAATTTGTCTTTGCTCGACTTTCATCCTCAACTCCTTGTTTGATTCTCTAGGCGTCTTTTTCTCTCTCTCTGTTCTGCATCTCTGAATTTCAACCTATTTCCTGTTCTCGTGACTCATTTGACTTGCGCTATATATTATCTTAATGCCTACTCCGACTCTTCCTTCCTCCCACTCATCGCCTAAATCTTTACCACAACCTTTGATCTCTTCTGCTCCGAGAAAAATGTCAGTAGCAGACCCCATTGGTAGCCAGCGTTGGGGAATCAACATGAATCAAGGGTTATTCTCCAACCCTTCCCAGTCCAACACTCCGACCGATCGTCCATCCAGTCTCAACATTCAGTCCAATCTCGCCAACTCCAAAGCTTCTCATCCCGTCGGTGTCATTGGGAGCTCTCGACCCGGTTCCCGCGTCGACCAGACTCATTTGAGTGTTACCTCCCAGGTCCCTAAACCATCTACCCTGCACCTTCCTGCGAGTGCGACCGGTTTGGGAAAGGATCGTGAAGATGCTGATCATCCTGTTGAACAACTCTTCAACTCTTCTAATACCTCTGCTGGATATACCCTCAGCTCGAGCATGTGGGCAACACCTACCTCGTGTATCCCTCCAACCCGACTTCACAATTTCAACAAGAACACGATCGCGCACAGGCCGACTCCACTTACCGTACGTGAGGCGGACCGCGATGAAGGAGGAATCTCTCAAACTCTACCGCTCGATCAATCAGCTTCTTGTGATCCACCTCGTCAAACCAACGTTCACTCTGACCTATCAAAGGGTGACTCCACTCCATCTTTTGATTCCCCGGAGCTGAGTTTCAGTCAGACTCCATCTGCTTCCTCGACCACTCGCTCCCTGGTCGCTGGAGATAGCGCTACGCGAACTCCTCTGAGCAGCTATTTCAATCCAGATGTCGAGAATGGCGATCACTATGGCTTGGGTTTCAAACGTCCCTACTATGCCAATTCTCCGGTCCAAGGATTTGGCAAAGATAACAACCATCAGACGTGGCCTCTACCTTTGTCTTTTGGAGAAGTAAGTAGTAGTTTGTTTCATCTCATTCCCGTCTTTAGTATAAGTCCAATTAACTCACAACCTTCCTTCGTCGACTCTTGCAGGAAGCGTTCTATTCGAAGTCAAATGTCACCAAATCACAGAATTCTGCGACCGGTACTTTTGCTCCGCCGCGGCGTGAGGCCTCTCCTGGCTTGTGGAAAATGGCGTCGCCTTCCCACCGTCCCTCGGCGACTGGATCTTCTCCCCCGAATCCCGGCTCGCAGAGCGCTCTAGGCTCCCCATTTCTAGCACCGCAATATATCACCGACTTCATGAATGCGATGTTCTCTAGAGTTGAGCAGCTGGAACGAGCTCTAGCTGCACAGGATCTAGCCATCACCCACTTGAAAGCCAACCTCAGCTTGTCCGGAGGCCCAGCTGCACCTCTCAAGAATCCGTTACCGAACAATGTCGTTAACACTTCTTTTCCTGTCATTCCGAATGGCAGGAACGCGAACCAAGGGGGGCAACAGCCTCCGTCAACCATCAACGCCGGCCAGAACGGATCGGTTCCTCCTCTGAGTTCAACGCCCGTTTCCACGGGACATCCACTGCCCCCCCATCGGATGAACACGGCCAACACTCCTCCGGGTAACTTCTCGGAATACATGAACAATCTCAACGGTAACTTTCCCTATTCCAAGCCGCCCGGGTTCGGACCGAGACAGATGGGACCGTTGGACTTTGCCATGGTAAATGCTTATCTCTTCGTTCACGCTTCTTTCACGTGCGTGCCGATATTCATTTGGTTTTATGATTCTTAGGGTCGAACCAACTCATTCGCGGGCACTGGACCTATCCTGAATCCACCTAATTCAGCTTCCATCCCGGTGCCCACCAGTGCTTTACCGGGTGGGCTAGGGGGAGTAAATTACAGGGCATTGTTGGCTGGGGATACGGATTGCGACTATGAGGTATGTGATATTTTTGTGATTTGCGTCGTTTTCTATAAGATGAGCTCCAGAAGGCCGAATCTCATCTTGGCGTTTGAAATCGATTTGATCTAGTACTTCATCCGGAGGATAACTGAACACAATGACCAACAATCGAGCATATTTCTGCAACAGAAGCTCAAGCAATCTGCGGTGGCATCTTCGACCGGCTTTGATGCTGCTCATGCTCCAAATCTTTCGTCTGATTCCAACGCCCCCAGGGAAGAAATCACTCGTCTAGTGATTGAATACAGCTTAGAGCTGATGTCCAACAGATTTGGTGAGTGTACAATTGCAGTCATATGCGGCTTTTCACACTCAAACTGATTTGCAATTCTATTTCAAGGTAACTTTTTGGTTTCCCGAGCCATTGAACATGCCACTCCGGAAGAGCGTATGCAGATGGCAGAGAGCATCAGGGGTCACATCATTCCTCTGGCTTCAGACACGTTTGCCACACATTGCTTACAGAAGATGATTGACGTCGACGAGGAAGACAACAATCAGATACGATGGCTGATTTCACAAGAATTGTTGAAGAAGAAAGAGACCGTCACGCATAAGAGCGCCGGTCATGTGTGGGCTCGATTGCTCAGTGTTGGTGGATCATCGAGTGCGATGCATCTGCATGTCTCGGGGCTAAATGTCAAGAAGCCGAACGGTCTCAATCAATACGGGTCTGGAGTTGGAAGTCCTGGGGAGCTTGAAAGAAGTCTCAACGAATTGTTGAAAGGTCAATGGGGTACGTGATGATGGCTTTTGTTTTTATTCTCAGGACCTCATGATCTGATTACGTATTTGGCCCTACAGCAAAGACTGCCAAAGATGAAGTAGGATCTCTGATTGTGCAAAGCGTTCTCGAAAACTGGAGCGAGGTCGAAAAGACGGACGTCATTGAGGAGCTCCTCGCGGAAATCTATAGCTGCGCGGTCCAACAATGGGGTGTAAGTCACCTGGATTGACCGACACAATTTTTGGCACAAGATCTGATGGTCCCATCTCTCAATAGAATTTCGTGATCCTGCATCTAATTGAGCATTCATCGGGTGAAACTCAGAAGAGATTGTTTGATCGATTGACGGAAACCCAATTGGCTTGTGAATTATCGATTGATAACTTTGGAGCCAAGGCGATTGAAAAGGTGATGAAAGTGTCTGGGATGGATAGCCCGATTGTTGAGAGCTACGTTCGTGGAATATGTGGATATGGCCATGGTCGTCCGGCGTAAGTATCCATTTTCATATGCGATGTGCACAAACACTGATGAATGTTGTCATCTTTTTTGCAGACTCATCGAGATCGCTTGTCATCAAGCAGGGGCACAGGTCCTTACCCTTCTCTTCACTTCTGCCCCGAATCCGATTCGTGAACTCATGATTCAGACTGTGGTACGCTGTCGTTCTATTACATCTTTGATATTCTCGTACCGAATGTTGACGCTAGGCTTTGATATTTTGTTGGATTAGAGGCGAAACGGTGTGACGATGAAGTCGTCAAAAGCAGGAAGCAAAATAGTAAGTCGATTTGATACTCCCCAGTCGATCAAGACTGAAGGGCAAATCGTTGACTCTTTTTTCACATCAGTGGTTCTTAGTCGAGAGAACTCGAGCATGGGTAGGTCACTAAGAGTGACTTGTTATAGCATATCGTTACGCCCAGCGCTTCCAGACCTGCTTCTACAATCTCTTTTTTTCTTTTATTATTTCTACATAAAGATATCTTCATTGGGGCATATATCTTCATGAAAACAAGGTGAGGAAGCATTGTAATGGGTTTCAAACCGCTGTCTTGAAGTAATGTTCTCGTCCTGTAAGGTTTAACTTTGTAATTGTAATATGTATTCAAGTTGGATCCATGAACCTATATTTTGGTTATGTATGTATATATTTGGTTGTTTTTATGTTTTACTATTCTCTTTTGAAAATGGAAAATTGGTAATTATGACGATGTGTAAATAAAACCTCTTATGAAAATGAAGGGGATCCCGTTTGTTCCATGACGATTTTTGTGAAAGAGGTGATCGTAATTTATTTCTAAGAATGGCGACTGACACAGAAAGAAGGGTTGTTGGAACTGCAACCCAACTGGAAAGGATAGATTTTGACAAATCACTCAAATATGTAGATTGTGAACGGGATATTGTGAGTGAGAGCATGATATGAAAGATGAGTAGTTGTCAGCTTGGAAATCTCATTCCCCTCTATGATTTTGGTAATATTTGTGCATCGATCATTCATTGTTACTAGGTTTGTACGATCTGTCATGATAAGCAATGTACTCATGTCAGATTTATTTGACAAAAGAGTTTTAATTCGTGAAATGATGCAAAACTGTTATAAGAAAACAAAAGTGAAAAGTAAGAACCGCGAGTCTGCTTCGTGAAAATCATCAAACAAAGAGTACAGAGATGAGAAATAAAACAACGTATGTTCAACAATAGATAGGTGGAAGGAGTTACAATCCAGAAAGAAAAGTTTAAGATTTTGAAAAAAGATGTAAAATTACAAATCAAATCAACTTGAAAGAGATCAATCGTAAACTAAATCCATTAAACTTTCTTGACAAGTAGATTGCATAAAATCCATACAAATCTCTAAACCTTTAAATTGATGATGATCACCTTTATGAGGATTGAGTAAAACTTTAGTTTTAAAGTGATTTGAAAGATGATTTGGTTTAGTAAGTTCAATGAATTCATCATAAGCTAAAATCGAAAAAGAGATTGTAGATTCTTGAATGATTGAACGAGTCATTGATGGTGAGATTGATTTGATGGGTAAGATTGATAATCGGGTTGAAATTGTATATTTCCAAGATGAAATGAAAATCTTATACACTGAAGGGATCAAAGAGAAAGAGAACCGTAAAGGTCAATGGCTTTGTGATCAAGTATAAATGAGTCGAGAAATAAACTCAACTGTTATGTAGAGATGATGAGAATTGTCGTAATGGACTATCAGTGAGATCTTGATCGAGATTAAAGAAAGTATCTTCTGTTTCAGGATCGATATAAAGGATTGATTTGATCAAATGAGGATGTTTAGATACAAACACTTTGGCTTCCAATCTAAAAAAAACATTCAAAAGAAAAAAAAACCAAGACAATCAGATATAAGGGTAATGAAAAAAGATTAAGAGAATTACACTTACGCTCCATAACCATGACCCACCACAATAAAACCAGAATGACGGATTCCATTCCAATTTTTTTGAATTTGATCAAATTCACCTATTTGATTTAAAACTTGATCCATCACGTTGACACTATCTGAGATCTTAGTCATCGGTAAATTAAATGAATGATCATAACCAGGTCTATCGAATTGGCAAAACCTAATTCCATTGAAGAGATCATTCTTTTTGAATGATTCGATGGAAGAAATCCATCTTGAAGATTCTTTGGCAGTATAAGCTGAAGGAGAAAAAAGTAAGATCGTATTGGTCTTGATAGGTAAATTTGAAGTGCTTTGGTTTGAAAGGATTGATGGATTCGGTTGGTTTAACCATTCACATTTCATTTGTAAACTGGTTTCAATCAATTGTTCTTCATGATGATGATGATAATGATGATCGATAGTTGGGAATGAAATTTCAACCGTATGAAGTTGGTCGGAAGGTACTGGATTCGAATCTGAAGCTTTCAATAGTAAAGTAGTTGTTAAGATTAAAGTATTGAGGGTGATAAAGATTGAATAACCAATGAATCGAAACCTCTTGAATGCGTTGGATAAGTTGTTTTGGTTTCTAGATAAGTAAAAACTTGAAGGTCTTATGAAAGATAATGATTGATTGACATTATGAATCACCAATGGAGTTCGTACTTGTTGTTGTGAATGAGTTGATGAATGAATAAACTTGGCTAAATCTAGAGCACCTAATAAGATAGTAGCAGATAAAAGAGTTAAACCTGATTCTTTACTACGAAGTTCACCATCAAAAAGAATGACGAAGACTTGAATAAGAATGTTAAATTGAGTGAAATGAATAGTATGATGAACCAAGATACTAAACGATTTATGATGATTCAAATTCACTAAAACCAAATGAATGATTAAGAATGATAAGATTGAATAATAAATTGGGATTTCAAATGAAGAGAAATGAGAAAAGATAAATGAATTCAAGTAAAAGATTTTAGATTGATGAGTGATTGATAAACTGATGATGATTGTAAATAAGATTGATAAGATCAAACTAAAGAATCCAAGTAATCTGATGAATTGAAATGAAGATGAATGAGTTTGATGGTTTAAATGAATTGAGATTGGTCCTTGTGGTGGTGGTGGTGGTGGTGGTGCTTGTCGATATGCTTGTTGTTGTTGTGCTTGTTGAGAATGATGATTGGTTTGAAATAATAATCTAGTTTGTTCATTTGAGTTGATGGCTTCTTGGAATACTAATCTAGTTTGTTCATTTGATCTGATAGCTTCATCATAATTGGGTGGTGGTGCTAGTGGTAAAGTTGAGTTCATCTTTGGGTCGTTTCTCATTTTCTTGTCAAGTTGATGATGTTGATACACCACCGGAGGTGTAAGGGCTCAGGTGTACTCTCGGAAAGTACATTACTTTCTGAGTACTTATTTGAGTGAGGAAAATTACTTTAATATTTCGATGAAGAAAAAGGAAACATATCAATACTAACTACATGTATATATTCTTAACAATTCTTATTTATTCTAGTAACATCTAATCTATATATCAAATTCTTATAACATATTTGATAAAACATCTTCTTTGTAACATTTACAATTTACTATTCAGATCTAACCATATTCGTATAACAAATTATTTGATAATGTATTTTAGATATTTCTAAGATAATTCCAAATCATTACAGGAGGGTTCTGTGTCAGAGAATGGTCTCCCCGGAGCCCAGAATGGTCGGGTCAGTAAATGGCCTGTAGACCGGACCATAGAGAGCCCACAAGGGTCTGAGAATGGTCGGGTCTACAGCTGGCCTGTGGACCAGAACTCATACGGGCTGTGGGTGGCCGGTAGGCGGTCTGCAAACAGGCCACACTTTTCAACAAGTTTGCTGAGCTTCTGACGGTCTACAACAGCCAGGAGACCAGTCTTCAATCAATCACTCCTGACTGCCACCATGTCGAACTCACAGGTTAGGTCAAGTTTGATGATACAGTGACTCAACCTTTAACAATCAATGACAAAACCCACCCGCTCAACAACAACGAACCACCCTTTCTCACCACGTCCACAGCCTCCGCAACCCCAAGTCCACTCCCAATGAACCTTCCATCTACTTACCGATCCCTCGAACTTTACAACCTGGAACTCAAGACAAATGGGCATCTAATTTAAGTGATCCAATCAAACAATACCACTCAAATCCTTTTGTAACTCTTCCTTAACTAACTCATTCGCCTGCAGCTCTTTTGTCCATCTTACCACTTTGTCCATCTAGTAGCTAACCTGCAACTGGATCACAATTATCTGAACCAATCTCATACTGGATTCTTTCAATCTTCACTTCGTTCCCCAGCTCATGGATTTCATCACCGTTGTCATCATCCAGCCACTCGATGTGTTTATAATCCTAATCAGAGTCATAGTCACAACAGTCTTCCATTACCATCACTCATCCCACCTACACCACCACCATCCTGTACACCACCTCATCTTTCTCATTTGATCTCGCGACAAGTAAGTTGACTTCATGTCGCTACTCACTTTGAACATCTCCTTGCCTGTTGTATGTTATTACTGATGTCTTTTTTCCCTCTATCACAGGCCGAGTTGTCACAATCGTTAATCCAAATTGTCGGGCTGTCTGCTTTTCCCTTGATAATGCTCTTCTCTGTCCGGTCTCATCATTGCTGGCCTTTCCTGCCTATCACTCAAATAGATGAATATTTGTATCCGTCTGATTTCTTTCAATCTCTCTGGCTAGCTCGGTTTATCATACTCTTCTTTCCAATGTCTATTTTCCGTTTGCCAAACCTACACATGCTAGCAAGGGTAGAAAATGATTGTTTTTTAGGATTGTTGGTGTTATATACAGATAGTCTATTTATACAAATTTCACACTTTTTGCAATCATATCTCTGGTCATTTCTTTCCACTCATCCTGGACCAGTAGGCCCACCGTGCATCAGTGCGAGTCGAAAGAGTAACTGTCAAAAGGTGCATTCTGAATCAAAAAGGCCTATTGGGCTCGCCACCGCCCGATTTATTCATTAGGTTGACCGTCTCGAGCTCGTTGATGCTCGCCTGCAGACAGGTCTCACCTCGCCTGCAGACCGGTTTCAGACTTGGCAGCGAAGCGGCTCGAGATGGTCATTTGCATGGTCTATCTTCAGACCGTCTGCCACTGCGGGAGCGTAGCCGGCCCTCAGACGGTCTGCGCTGCCGGTCTCAAGACCGGCTAAACCCTCCGGTGGTGTATTGATTTCCAGTGAGAATGGTTGATAATAACAAGTCGATGGTCCAGATTCTCTTCTTTTGTTCTTTTTTTCGGATTTAAGAACAAATGACTGGGTTCGATTCGCTACAAAGCTACTTTGGTTCTTCTATCCTTCTATCGAGTGTTGCCTCTTGACGTCACTTTAAGCACCGCCACTCAGTGTCACTGATCCATCGATCCATGTCATCTGCGTGAACCTCAGTTTAGCTCATTTCACTGATTCGTGATTCGATTGCTTCACTTGATCTCTTCAATCTAATTTAATCATCTTCATTCCTCTTATCTTCCTCAAGGGATCTGTACTTCAGATGGATCCATGATCTAACAGACTGCATGGGCTGAGGTTTGGACTATAAAGTGAATAATTGATGACAAGTTGATTTGAAACCCTTTTGCTCAAATTGAAACATTTCACTGTTTGCATAAGCTTGCTCAAATGATAAATCTATTTCTTTACTTGGCAGCACAGGCAGAGAATCGATTATGTACCAACAGTTGTTACATTTATCAGACATCAAATCAACTTGAGCTTGGCAAAATAAAACTTACAGTTCTTTCTTCAGAAACAGAACCAATTAGTGATTGGGAAGAGGATTGATTAAAGATTCGAAACTTGCAAGTTGATTTGTATTTGAGAATCACACCATCGATTGCAGAAATTGTATCATTCAACTTTAACAATACCCTGCTTCCACAATTCAATACAACACTTTCGATAAATTCAATCAATCTTTCATTTCATTGAAGCTCAAGTTCAAGATAAATAGATACCTGATCTTTGACACAAGACTTTACATTCCAAGCAAGAAGACTATCACAAGAGGATATAAGATTTTCAATCGATTTTCCTTATCATTTCAATTCGATCGACAATATAGCCTATAGAGGATGTGTAGGTAAGTACAAGTCTCTTGAAGTTTCACTCAGATTTCGACTCAGTATATTGATCATCACTTTTACCACTTCATATTGATCACTTTTGATAATCAAATCAGATTATTAATTTTCAAAGGTGAACCTATCATCTTGGCTCATTTACTCACTAAACCATGCCAGTTAGTCTCATTTCCATTCATCATCCTTTAAAGATTCACTTTTATCAATTCTGATTTTGACCTTTTCTTTCAAAGCTCTATCATCAATCAAGCTTTCGATAGTAGACTCAGATTAGGTTCATTTCTTTTCACTTGATCATCGTTACATTCGAATACTTATCTTAACATCTTATATCTTCAAATAGACGCTCGACCCATCAACGCTGATGGTTTCGGTGTCGGTGTGTAATCCTTTTTCACCTTGATCATCCATTTGTTAATCATCAAAACTTATGAGGATTCTTTTGCAATGTGTAGGATGGTACGATACTGCAACTGAGGATGTAGATCCTACTCCTTGTGTTTTTCAAGCAATCACTCCTGCATGGTGTTAGTGTGATGGACCTTTTTCAATTCAAACTCATCTCATAAATTGATCTTACTCATCTGTATTATTCCATCTATAGCCAATCGAAATTTACATAGATTAGCAGAAAAGATTCGATCTCCACTTGTCTTGTTAGTTGATTTATCTTTTTTACTTTCACTCAAGGTTTCCCTACTCACACAAGGATACTTTCAATAGCGCCCATGTTCGAGCAAGTACATCCGGAGCACTAAGTGAAGAGAATTGTCATCCCTGGGTAACTTCTTGGACCATTTTGTTCTCACCACTTCTTGTGAACCTTAACTGATCATCCTTTGCTTTCACTCTAGATTTATGGATCTTTACTATGGATGCACAATGGTACATACTCTTTCCGCAATCTCTTCCACATTTATAGCCTAGTTTACTGATCTTCTACTTTTCTTTCTTGTTGATATTTTTCAAAATTTAAACAAATAGGTCATATTGCTGGATTCAATAAGATTAAAAGAAAACTTCAATCTGAACTTTCTGATGAATTCTTTAATTATCCTCAAGGTTTGTTCAAGTTCTCGTACGCTCGATCATGATATAGGTTTAAAAAAAACTGACACTTAGTCTATCTTTTTTAGGCAGTACCGATTCTGAATGGGCCTTTGCAATTTTTCTCAATGAGCTAAGCAAGGTACTATAATCCAACCTCATTCTTAAGACTCTTGAACTCAATGTTAATGAAATGATCCTTTCTTTAGCATGCCGATCCGAAAGCCACCTCATTTCCATACTCAACTCTACAATTAATTATGCTAAATACGATCAAAAAGATTAAAGAAGCTAGTCAATTAGCAGAAGTAGGAGAACCAAGCTTATTGAATTTTGCTGTAACAGATGGTAAATCAGTGGTAGCTACACGGTATGTCACTAGTTCTACAGATGAAGCTGCTAGTCTTTATTTCTCGACTGGTACTTCTTTTGAAGAAGTTGAAAATGATACACTTGGACTTTCTAAACCTGGTCAATATCGAATGGTATGATCCTGGGTTCTCTTATCTGATTCGGTCAGAAGTTTCATCCTACTGATCGTTTTGATCTTTTTTTCTTTGGTAGAGAAAATGTGATAAACGAGAAAAGATTGTTTTGATTGCTTCTGAACCATTAACATTTGAGAAGACAGACTGGTTAGAAATCCCATGTCAAACCTTGATTGTCATTACACCCAAGGTACGATTTCTCTCCTTGTTGAAGTTCCAACATTTAATATTTTTCTACTTGCTCTTCGTAGACTAATCCAATTTTTTTCGGTTACCTTTATTATAGATGAACGTATTACAATTTCCAATCATAGATGAATACTTTCAACAAACACTTACACCAAATAGATCATCAGATTACGTTGCAGGTAAAGGATTACATTATGCACATTCTAGTACTATCCTGGCTAGTAATCCATGTCATTCAGGTCTTGGTAAGAATTCTAAACAAATCCCAAGTAGAGATCTTCGAACAAAACAATCCTGTACTTTAACATCTCCTCCTTGATGAAGTTTATTTTGAGATGGGTTTCTTTTTTTTTCTGGGAAGGGTTCTTTTTGAATTTCATTTTTCTTGGAATCTTTTTTTTTTCTATCTTGTTTCCTTTTTTTTTCATCAGATTGGAATTGTATTAGTAAGAAAGTTTTTAGACATCAGGAAGGGGGGAGAGGGCAGCTTCATATTGGTTGATTGTCTCTTTTTCTTATATAATTTGGTTTACTTTATCATATACATGTGTTGGTTTTTCATCATGTTTCTTGAAATGAAACTGTAGAATTACTTTTTTCCCAAATGGTTTGTTATATTTCAACTTGGAAAAAAAATCGATAGTAAAAGTTGAAATGTAAAACAATCAGAGTCTTTACCATAATTTCAATTCTCTTGATGATTTAAAGGGTGGTTGTTGATATTTTTGAAATCCCTCCTAGGTGTGGATGTACCTGTTCCCTAGTTTGTTCAAATTTCCAAGGAAATCTTAAGATACTGAGTCCTTAGACACTTATTTTTAACTATGATATCATCTTCTTGTCCTTGATCTCCTATAGTAATGGTATTCAAAACTCGAGAAACGGGCCCGAGAAGTGTCAAGAAGTGACATCTAGAAGCTTCTTGGACACCTTCAAGATGTTTCTGGATGTCACTTCTGGACCTTTCTTGATAGATTTGAGACCCCCATCATTCCCCCATCCCCATCAACTCACTTCTGTCTCGCCACAAACACCTCTTAACAGGTGAATATCATCTCACTCTTTGCTCTACACATGACAACTTCGACTGCCATTGACATACAACACTTTAAGGAATCAACTCAGTCTTCAAACCAATCTCCTGGACGAGTGATCTGTCCAACTGTTTGTGTCAGTCATTGTCCTATTCATCTCCTCCATGGTTGATTTGTTTCTGACTTGAAAATTGCTTTTGTTGTCAATTCATCTCACCTTTTATTTGATCAATCACCTTAAGAAAAACAATTATGTTGAATCAGAATTTAGATCAAACACGAATTGACCAAAGGCAAATAATTGATTGAAATTGGACAATCAATTGAAATAGAACGACTGATTGCAATAGAACGATCAATCAAAATTGAATGACCAGTTGAAATCCACCAATCGACCAAAATCCAAATCAAGATCTAACAAGCGATGAATTTTAACAATTAATTTCACCACGCTCCCTATCCCATCTTCCAAAAATGAGTTGTTTGTTGTACCTTGTCCTGGTCACATTGGTACAAAGAATTGCATCTAGATACGGCTTATGTAGCTTCAAAAATGAAAATGAGACAATGATTGTCCTTGCTACTCATAAGTGAATACATCAGCTTTGCATACAAAGCGAATCCGAGTGAAATTCAGTTCTAAGTACATATTTGAGACAGACAAAATACACTTGAAAACGAGCACTGTTTCCCAGATATGTGGTTTGATCATTGATCAGGCAAAGGCCAAAAGAATAGCAGGAGCTACAAGTGAAAGTTGGCGGATAAGTGATGTGTATGATGGTGTGGTGTTGATCGAGTTGATGTAAAAGTGGGAAGAGATGTGAGAAGGGTCGGTTGGTTAGAGTGCGTTTGGTGTCACGCTCACACCCGGTGTTTTTTTCAGGGCCCAGGGCCATGGCCTGCACCCGGTATGGCATGCCCTGCTCTAGCCCTTGATAGACAGAGCCTCCACGTGGCGCCATGGTAAAGGCCCTCCTCAGCCGGGGCTATACCATGGCGCCACATGGAGGCTGGGTTGAATGAAACTCCACACACTGCAACACGTGAAGTTTGAAACACACTGCAGCCTGAAACATACTTCATTTTCATTATGTCACAATTATCTAGAAGCTCTGATCTCCAACTTTCAAGGAGAAACATCCTCAGTTCTCCTTCAATAGCTCAGCACAGAATCTCAAACACTTCACACTCAAATCCCTACAATAAATCTGGCTCACCCAACAGCCTGGCAGCGCTCCAAAAACGTTTGGAAGATTTCCAAAAAACAAAGAATAAACGGACTTCCTGGGTGTGGCCATACTTCGAACCTTCTATCATAGATAGGAAGATCAAATTTGTCTGCCAGCTTCCTTCTCAGCATTCAGCCGGTGATTTATGTTTGAGTGAAATAACTGAAGATACAAAAGGTCCAACTAAATCACTCAGTTGTCATCTCAAACAAATTCATAGAATGTCATCAAACAAAAAATTCCGCCAGCAGACCGAGGGAGCATCCAAAGTGGTTTGTTTATAGTTATATTTTGGTGTGGCATTTCATTTTTGGGTGTCACAAGCTGATATCTTAATCATTCTTGTTTTAGGAACCTTTGACACCTGATTCTTTCAAGAAAATGCTGGTCAAGATGTGTGTGGAAGATGAGATGCCCTTTCAATTTGTCAGCTCAGATGCATTTCAGAAGCTCTTGTTACTTGTGAATCCAAATATCAAATCTTTTTTTATATCCCCTACTGCATTGAAAGACGAGATATTTCAAACCTTCAACCTTTATCAAGCACGTCTGGTAAACTACTTCTGTTCAATCAATCATATCAACCTCACTTGCGACTCCTGGACCTCCCCAAATCACAAATCTGTCTTTGGAGTCACTGCACATTGGATTGATGAAAAGTTCAAATTGAAGAACGTGGTACTTTCACTTATTGAAATCAATGGGCCACACACAGTTCAAAATTTGTCTAATCATCTACTCTGTGTCCTCGATGAATTTTCAATACGCTCTAAACTTTACTGTATCACGGCCAATAACGCATCCAACAACGGTACCCTAGCTTCCGCTCTTGAAGAAGTCATTCCACAGTTTTCTCGGTCTCAAAATCTGAACGGATGTCTAGCTCACGTGATCAATCTTGGAGTTCGTGAATGTCTCAAGTACTTTACCAAAAGTTTAAAGCCAAACTCCATGACTGGACCCGAAGAATTTGAAGAGGTAGCCGATGTAGTCTGTTCTAGAAAGATTGCTTGTCTCCTCCAAAAACTCAATGAGCTCTCAAACAAGTACAAGAACAGCCCTCAGTTTGCAACTCACATCCAAGAATTGGCATCTACGACCCCCGGAATTGGGAAACCGTTAGGTCTTCGTACTGAATGTCTGACTCGCTGGAATTCGCTCTCTCATGTCTGTGCCCGAGCTGTCCGGTTGAAGACTGTGATCAACTTCAAGCTTGATAATGATCCACAATACATCAACATCCGCATCAACAAGTCAGAATGGATATTACTTGAGAATCTTGTTCGGTTCCTCCAGCCTTTTGAAAGGATCACATCCGAACTCTCAGCATTGAACTACCCTACATTCTGTCTGGCTGCTCTAGCATACGGAAAAATGATGAAACGTCTCGAGACGGTAAGGACATATCACCTTGTGAATCTAATGCAAGTTTTGTGCTGATATCACTAACTCACATGACAGGCTATGGAAGCTTCATCCACAATACCTGGCCTCCGAGCTGCTATGAACCCAATGTATGATAAGCTTTGTGATTACAGGAACCAAGCAATCACAAAGCACACATACCTCATCGCTGCTGTACTTGATCCCAGGAACAAACTCGAAGGGATCTCACTACACCAAATCAATAATTTACCATGGAGTTTAGAAAAGTAAAAATGTAGAAAATTTTCAGCAATGTGTGAGAGGTTGGAAAACTTTGATAAAATTATGGTTTAATTGCCTGTGATGTCCCACCATTCCTCACATTTTTTTATATTTTTACCTGCAGTTTTGCAGATGTTCCAAAGAAAAATGATTTTGGTGTATATTTTGTCAGAAACTCAGATTTTGTCCAAAACTACCAAGGCTTGTGCAGAAACTTTTGAGCACTCACAAATCCAAACAATTTCCTCCAATCAATTTGGCAGTTGAAAATTATGAAAGCCACATAGTGGGTCTACAGTTTTATCTGGATGTTAAAACCATTACAGCAAGGATTTATAAGCTTTTCTAGATTTGCTGATGGGGACTGTGATTGCTGTGCCTTATGTGTTTTTAGACACACACCACTCATTACAATGTGTATGTGGTAGCACCATCAACATATTTACCTTGGATTAAAAAATCTGAGGTATCCTTGGATGCCAAACCTTGGACAGAAGCTTCCCAAGGTTTTGATCCGAGGAGGGCAAAAGAATACCTTGGATGAAAACCTTGGACAAGGTCTGTCCGAGGATTTGCCTCCGATGATGCCTTGGATTTCTCAACCTGAGGCATCTATGTTGGCAGTTTAGAATAAACATGTAGCATTCAAAATGTGCAGACATTGCAGATTTTGACCCAAAATTGGCAATTTTATTGCTCTCACAAGGTTGATGCCTCAATGACTGACAGTTTTGGACATGAATTGAGTTTCTGACCTGATATACACTGCTGCCGTAAAAATCAGAAAAATATGCAAAAGGATGGGCACACATAGGGGGATGCATCCCTTATTTTTCCATCTTTTTCTGACCCCCTCCACCTTGTGTATAATTTTCTATATTTCCTGAATTTTCTAAACTCAGTGGTAAATTTGCAATCTGGCGTAGTGTCTGTCCCAACATCTTATCGCGTGAGACTCTAGAAGATCACATACACACGGCGTGTACTCATCTAGGAATCTCTGAAGCACTTGAAGATTTCAAAACTCAAGAATTACATCCAAGCTCCGATTCGGACTTGATCGACAAAACCTTTGAGTCTGACACTCAGACTGTTCATCACCTTCGAGATGAGATTTCATCGTATCTCAGTCGTCCTGTTGAGCCCCGATCAATGACACCCTTAGGGTATTGGGAGCTCAATTGTTCAGAATATCCTCACCTGACAAAGCTTGCACAAGCCATACTTGCCATTCCGGCCACAAGTGTCCCTTCGGAAAGCTCGTTTTCTTCCGCGGGTCATGTTATGGACAACTCCAGATGCGCAATGAAAACGTACACCCTCATGGAACAAGTGTGCTTGAAGAGCTGGATGAAAGTGTTTCCATGAAGCTTTGTGAAATTCATCTTCTCTCAAACTTCTGATTCAAACCTCTGATTGATCTCAAACTTCTGATCGATCGCAAATTCTGATTGATCACAAAGTTCTGATCGACTTTCATTTTTTTGTGTTAACTAAGATCTCTCGATCTGACTCGGTTTCCGAAATTTCATTCTGTTTGATCAAACTTCTAATGTACATACACCTACTCAAAGTTTTTGTTTCACTCTCCTTTTGAAATTGAGAGCACAAGTCTTCACCAAGACTGTTCACTTTCAAGACCAATCCAGATACCTCAGATTGTGGCTCACTTGCTTAAGAAGATAGAAG